CACATAAATTACAGAATGTTTCTTTGGTCAAAATAAGTACTATAAAATACTTTATTTTAGCTGGAATTAATTTTCACTGAAAAAACTTTTTTTTGAGTGTTGTATTGAATTTATTTACACTGATTTTTGACAGGTTGAATGTGAAATTTAGGAAAAATGCATATTCGCTGAATTTTATTTTCACTGAATCATTCCTTCAGCAAAAATTAATTCCAAGCGAAAATAAAGTATCTTACAATAGTTTTTTACCGGTAGATACAGTATACAACAAATGTTATTTCTGGATATGCATTTCTAATGGATATTTGGTATTTGTCAAAAAAGTTATATTTAAAGTTATAGTATTCAATAAATGCAATACAGTTTCATTGTTTCAGAAATTTGTTCTAGATAATAATAGTTACATAATGTGACAATCAATGTCTCCTCCAAACGTTCATCGTTTTCTGTCATAATTTTACGGCAGTATCTTGTACAGTATTTGTTTAAAAAAAATTTTTGAAATTTTATTCATTGCACTGAGGCACACCATAGCTCTCACATCAAATTTGTAGATGGTTTTTCAGTTTATTCTGATGCCTTTCGTAAATGTACATTCACTGTGTATGATATAATATGATTTGATGAATATTTTAATTCATCCTTGTTTTGATTTAATAGCATGATGATGTACGTGGACGTTACAAACCGTCATTTACATATTCCTCTGATGAAGAGGATCATTCTGATGGATACAGAAGAGCAGCATCATCTCCTCCTCCGCATCCTTCAAGAAACTTTGTAAGAGAAGAATCATCATGTAGATGTATTAGTTTCGCTATCAATGTATAATTATGTTTATGAGAACGGTAAAAAAATCAGTGAAAATACAATAAAATCCAATAAGGCTGGGAAAAAAAAGGTTTTTTCTTTTCATCTCATGGAAAAATTCTGCAATGATGCGACCAGAACCAGAACAAAAAGATGTACACATTAACATGCTTTTCAATACATGCATTGAATGTTGATTTTGATCGAAAAAAAAAAAAACATTTTCCACTGCACTGGTCCACGGAATTGCAGCAACAAAAAAATGAGGTACAGGTTTCAAACTGACATGCACAATAACATAAAACAAAATCATTTTTTAGCCAAATATTTTGTGAAATATTTATTAAAAATATTATGCTGTTTGTTAGGTGACAGAAGTTGATTTCAGTGTTCAAAGTTTTAATTCGGCTTAAAAGCACATACGTACCAGTAGTTCCAGTTCGGTGTACCAAATTCAAATCTTTTTGTTTAACTTCACCCAAAGTAGATAACAAACGTTTATATTCATTTTAGGATGATAAGTATGGTCATGATTGGAATCCATCAAGCTCACTTTCAAGACCAATTGCATCGAGAGGTAAGTTTACTAAATATTGCCGATACATGTATACTTAAATCTTAATATTCTGACCTCTTGCTATTGCTAATTATGAAACTTGTAATTGATCGAGTCACTATGACACCCAATGCAAATTAACTCCTGCTGAAAAAGTGAATAAAATGGCCGCTTCAGGGCTTGGTACTGTCATTTGTAAAACTGATGATGATTTCTAGTCACACCACACAACAATGACCTTGTCATAGGTAGTGCCATTACATTAGTCCGCATTGTCATGTCTTTGCATTTACCAATTGATCAATTTTGTTCCCCACAGGTCTTTCCTCATTCAGGGACGAAACTAGTCTTGTTGGAAAATACGAAAAAGAACTTGAAATGAAGTCCAAAATGTTACAAGCTAGATTCCATGAAGAGAAATTGAACATGCAACAAAAACACGATGAAGCCATCCAGAAAGTAAGAACACAAATTCATGTAAACAGTTTAATTTTCACCGCTAAAAGTTTCTGCTCTTGAGGACAAAATTTTGTGATTCTGTTTTTTAACCTTTTCACTACCAGACTTTCTCACCCAAATTTTTCTACTCTTTTATATTAGATTCTTCAATATTTCTGAAAATGCAGCCTCATTTTGGAGCCAATAGACTAGCTTTGAGTAAATTTTCAGTTTTTATTCAAAAATTTGGCTATTTTTGTCACAATCTTTGAAGGAAAGTGCAGACTATAAACAGGTTTTATTTTGTGATGAAAAAAAGGAACTGGCAGTGAAAAGGTTAAGAACCCAAGTTGAACGCTGCT